CATCTGGTGGAAATTTCATGTCATTAGCACCTCTAGTAATATATTTACTGAGAAAAATGTTGACGTGTTCAATACTTATTTTACCCGCTGTATTTTGCTAACAGACAAACGGTGGGCGGTACAGTTCATCAGCCCTCAGCTGTCGGTGGAGCGCAGCGCCTCTTTGGAGTGGTCGTTGTACATGAAGGTCTGCTCGATGCTGAAGTCGGGGGGCAGGTGGTCCTTGTGCAGCTCCATGTGGGACGACACCAGTTTCAGTGTGGAGAAGTAGAAGCCACAGACGGTGCAGCGGTACATGAGGGCGCCGGCGTGCGTCTTCAGGTGGCAGATCATGGTGGAGCGACCTCGGAAGAAGCGCAGACACACCTTGCACTGGTACGGCTTCTCCCCGGTGTGGATCCGCAGGTGGTAGGTGAACTCCCCCGAGTGGGCAAAGTGTTTGCCGCAGTACCGGCACCGGTACCACTTCCCGCGAAGCCCCGGGGCTTCAGCTGGGGCTTCCTTCTCTGAGCTGCCRTTAGTGAGAACTGTGGAGAACAGGCCCAGCGGGGCCACTTTACACAGTTTACTGGAGTCATGCAGGGTGCCAGAGGAGGAGGAGGAGGAGGATGCGGGACCCTCCGGAGGCAGCTCGGCTTTACGTTTGCCTGACCAGCCCTGGACCTCGAGGCCTGCCCCGCTCCCCAGACCCCCGGCACCCTTGGTGGTGTGCAGGCTGAGGTGGTACTGGAAGGCAGAGGAGGAGGAGAACGTCTGTGAGCACAGGAAGCAGTGAATCTCCTCCACCCCTGGCCCCCCGCCATCAGGCCCCCGCTCCAGAAGCTTCCTCTCCTTCACCGYCGCCTCCTTGGCGTGCTCGGCCATGTGCCTGTCCAGCAGGGGGCGCTCCACGAAGCAGCAGGCACAGTGAGGGCAGGAGAAGACCGCCACAGACAGGTGGGTGAGGGTGTGCCACAGCAAGGAGCACAGGGAGAGCTGGGGGAGGTGGCAGACCCCGCAGGTCAGACTCTGGTGACACACGTGGCTCAGCAGGTGGTCTCTGACGGACTGAAGCACAGAAAGAGAAGAGGGGCGGTAAAAACAMACGGTGGTCCCATTAAAACCTCATCTGTTTGCATCAAACTCAATGAAAGTCTGCAGYTCATTCTGAAACTTTTCAATTAATACAGAGGTTCTCAAAMTGGGATCCCAGGACCCCSAGGGGTCTGCAAGAGGTATCTTGGGGGTCCTCAAAAAATTTCACTACATTGTTAATTTGTTTTTTTATTTTTAAAAATGCATGGAGAACAATGAACCAATTAAACAAACATAATAAACTTAATAAAATATATATATTTCCATGGCATTTAGGGGTTGAAATAACAATAAATTATTTTCTAAACCAGCATGGATTTTATGAGGGGCTCCCTGGAATTTTTTACCCTTGTAAGGGGTCCCCAGACCCAAAACTTTTGAGAACCCCTGAATTAATACAACAAAATGTTCGGCTACTTCAGGACACTGCTGCTCTGTCTTCTGATTCTTCATACTTTTTGAAATATTTAACTTTTTTCTTGCTGAAAATGAATGGAGCTGTTTTCATCTTCATAAATCTTTACTGCAGTTTTTACCTTTTGTTCTGGTACTGCTTCTTTTTTTCTTTTCTTTTTTTACTTTTTAAGCTAATTTCAGCTCTTTTTGGCTTCTATTTTGCAAATCTTATCTTTTTCCTGCTCTTCTAGGTATCATTTTGACATTTTCTCCTATTTTTTTTTTGCTAATTTCAACTTTGTGCTTCTTTCAGCTATTTACTGATAATTTCAGCAGTTTTCTGAGTCTTTAGCTACTTTGTAGCTAATTTGAGCTTTTTTCCACTAAATCCACCTTTTTGATACTTTCAGCTACTTCCTGCTTAATTCATCAAATGTTCTCTTTCTGTTTCTTTGTGCTAATTTGAGTGATTTCAGCTACTTTTAAAGCTATGTTTAGGCTAGTTTCAGCCTTTTTTAGGTATTCAGCAACAATGTTCAGCATTAAACGTTCACACTGCCTTTTTTCAGGAACTATGAATTGTCTAGTTTGGACCTGTTCCTTCATTCTGAGATGATTTCTGTTGGTGCAATAAATAAAGAGAACACAGTGTGGTGTGAAAGCTACAGAACAATACAGTGAAGTGCAACGTCCAGAGCAACTTCCTGAGTCAATAAACATAAATGTTACAATTTTAAGCACATTTTTKGTGAAAAATATTTATATTAATGTAATCAGCTGTCTGTTTTCTCCATCCCTGCAGGTTGTGTCTCATAAAAAAACTAACATTCGATCAGAGAAACATGTCCTGGCTCCTAGAAGTATTTTTATTTATGGTTCGTTCTGTTTTTTCATTTCAAAATAAAATCGTTAAAATAAAATAACCGTGTTGTTTTTTTGTTTTTCAGTCTTTAAAACCTAAATGTAAAAATGTCAAATTGAACTAATAAAAAATAAACAGTGTTTGATTTAACTGCTTCGTTTAGCTAAATCCAAAATAAAATATATAGTTGATGTTTAAATAAGTAACTATTCTTTGATGACTTCCGTCATTTTCTGACGTCAAAGAAGAGTTTATAGTTTCTGAAAACCAGAAACCATTCCTACAGACATTAACAACGGCTGCACTCGAACCTTACTCTGTACAGGGTGTAGC